TTAGACAGTCTTGCTTCTGCATAGCAAAGCATGCTAAATTCATGAGCTCTAATGTACTGCGTTCAATCACATACGTGACTCATTTCTGATGCACTCAGAGAATGAGAGCAGAGAGGAGGACGTGGAGTGGAACAGCTCAGATCTGTGGACTTTTTAGTAGACTTAATGATTTAGCTGAAGAATTAATATAAAGCACAAGGAAATCTAGAGGCAGCAGAGCAGGATGTTGGCAAAATTAAAGTCTATTGTCAATAATTGTGCAAATCTGCTTCACAAAGCTCTAGTTTTACACATCCGGAAACATTCCCCTCATCTTTTTGTTTTAAAATGTGCTCATGAGGAATTTCTCTGCCTTATCAGACAGTACAATGCCTCCTCCTCTTGTTGAAGTTACGCCTGATTCTTGGGCCTGATGGACAGTTAATACAATAACATGGCCCTATAAAAGATGACAGAAATTACACTTCTGAAATTGCTGAATTTCAGGAACCATTCAGAAAGTAGATTTCATGTCTAATACAGGTTCTCTCAATCGATTGGACACATTTCTCCAAACTGAGATTACTGCTCTCAAAACAATTAACTCAGTGATCTGGGGCCGTATTCACAAAGAATTTTAAGGCTAAAAGTAGCTCCTAACTGGCGAATTTAGGAGCAACTCCTAAAAATAATGGGCGTGTCACTCCTAACTTTAGGACTACTAATTTTTTTCACTAAGAGTAATTCACGAAGCATTTTAGCCCTAAAAGTAGCACCTAAGTCTGGGACAGCTTAAAAGAAGTCGAGAGGACTCCTAACTCACTAAGACCTATTCACAAAGGATCGTAGCGCACACCACCGCCTCTCGCAGTCGTCCGGGGTCCGCGACACAAGCAGGAATGCGGCATTGATCTGCAAACAAATACTCTCCCATTCTCACGCTTAGTTTTGCTTGATATCCCAATACCGAATTTCAATTTTATTATGTTTTTTTTTTTCAGCAGCAGTAACTGATCCTGCGTCCAGTTGGGCTTTCTTTTACGTTTTGGCGACTTCATAATCCACTGTCATTCAACTATTACATTACATCAATAAGAGCAACATTTCCTTGCTTTAAGTAGTCTATTTAGGCTAATAGGATGTCAATTAACCAAGCAAGTGTTAATGCAAGTGTTGTTTTTCATTATTAGGCAAGTGGCGGTTTTCATTGGGGTATTAGGCTACCTTGATTTAATTTATTTTAATTCACGACTTTTCTCTCTCTCTGCCTTTTTAGAATTACACTTCACTGGGGCCTGCACAAACATGTCATTATATATGCATTTCGATGACATTACTATTATTATTTTGTGTAGGACACAGACATATTTAGATGTCGTAATTCCATGATTTGTTGCGTCTGTGTTATGCTCCGCATGATGGCCCTGTCATCTAACAACCAATCACCGTGATCATTGCGAGGAAGCTCGTGCATGAGAAGTGACGTCATCCATAGCAACGAAGACTCACTCTTAGTTTAGGAGTTGTCATTTTTCCTTACTAAGAGTAGGTCTGAAAGGCGCTGTGAATAACTTTTAAGAGAAAACTCCTAGCTAAAATATTTTAGTGCGATTTAGGAGTACTCCTAGTGGTAAGATACAATTCTTTGTGAATACGGCCCCAGAACACTTTGTAATTGTCCTAAACAGATTTTCATTTATTTAATTGAAATGACACATTTTATCAAAATATTTTCCAATGAGATTCTCCAATGTGTTCACAACAGTTCACACAGCCAAACAAAATTGCAATATATCTAAAAAAAATAAAAATAAATTGTAGCTCCTTTTATTGACTTTACAAAAACAAAAAACAAAACTCTGTAATGTCAGGAAATTGCATTTCACAATTGCATTAACTATAAAAAATTGAGGAGTGGAAGGTGGTTGAGAGTTGAGAAATGAGAGGGAGAGGAAGAGTGGAACAGGTAGAAAGAGATTAGGGGAGAGGAGGAGAGAGTTTAAGAAAATGAAATGGGTAGGAAGAGTAGAAATGGGAAAAGGAGAGGGAGAATAGATGGGTAAAGTGGAGGGCATTGGTGTAGTGGAAAGAATAAGAGGATAAATTGTTAGAACACTTGAACAAAAAGAAAGGGGACCGCAGGATGTAAGAGGAGTGAAGAGATGAAGGTACAGACTTTTAAATGAAATGGCAGTCACTTTTTGAGAGAAACTAGGAAACAGAAACAAAGTGGTACTATGGCATTCCAATTCAATTTTTTTGAGTATTGTACTATACTGTGTTTGCTGAGAGTGTACATTTGTAGTTTTGAGACAGCCTTAAGGTCCTATAGCGAAATTTTGAAAAAAAGTCAGAAATTTACATATGCTTCTTTTCGTATTTGTTATCCTAAAAAATTGTCACGCACAGAAACCTTACACACTGAGTCCGATGAGTATTAATTAATCTGTTGCAAAAAAAATCGTAAAACAATACAAATTCTTCAAGTCAGTGAGGATGTTTGTTGTCCTCTCTCTTAAACATACAGACGGTTGGTCTGGGAACGCCCCGTCACGTCATGTGAATTTAGCCCGTTGGGGAAAACATTGCCTTGAAGCTCATTGAAATACACTCGACAATCATGCCGAAGAGTTGTTGTGTCGTTTTCTGTACTGCCAATATAATTTTTTTTTTTATAAATTGAAGTTCTACATCCTTCCTAATAAACGCACAGAACCGTGTGAGCCTCCAGGAACTTGTAATTTTTTATATTACTGTGTGAGTAGATGAGTGTGTGATATAGTAGTGGGTGTTAAACTCGTATTAGGCAGTGGGCCAGATTTGTCTACTTCCCTTAAAAAGAACTATAGTAATCCTATAAGATTTGCATTATAATACTTCTGTGATGTTCTGTAATACCTCTATAGTACTTCTATAGTTTGTCCCAAAATACTATAGTATTCCTATAGGATTACTATAATGTTTTATCCTAAAATACTACAAGATTCCAATGGTTGTTTTTCATAAGGGATGTCTCATTCACATTAGCGTTATCAGCTGAAGATTGGCTTGATAGGCCAATCCAGCCCGTTCTCATCCTTTGGCGTCATACATGTGACGCTTTGTACATTTCGTTGAAATCTTACGCACATGGCATCCTTTAGCATCAATATGAGACGCAGAACCCAAGGCGTCATACAGGTGACGCTCGTCTAAATCCAACGCACATGACATCGTTTAGCGTGAATATGAGACGCAGATCCCAAGGCGTCGTAACCGCACTCTACCCCAGACCTAAACCTACCCATAACAGTGCGTGTTATATTGACGCTAAAGGATGCCATGTGCGTAAGATTTCGACGAAATTTCATATGGCGTCACCTATATGACGCCAAAGGATGAGAATGCGTTGGCCAATCGCTATAATGATGCCAGCCGTGAACCTGTCAGCACAGTCCCTCGGCAACTTCTTACTGATCACCGTTTTACAAAAGCATTAATAGTTTGGAGTGAAGCATACGTACAATTGGTAAGTGACAAGGTTTTATGGAGTTATAGTATGCAACATATAGGCTAATGTTACCGGTAGCTACCGCAATGTCTTACCTGGAGATAACAGAATATATCTGGAAACGACACCTCCGGCCATTTGGTTGGGTCATTGACCCAGTTTTTAAATTAAATTAAATTATTTTTTTTAAATTAAATTAATTAAATAAGGGCAATCATACCCTATTGCGGTTAATTTTGCAATGTATCGTTGCCGGTCGGCAGGCGTCAATGCCTCGCAATAAGACATTTTTGTCGTTCAAATACACACGATGTTCGCTGTGTTTTCCCCCACGCCGACTCCGCCCTCACCACACCCCCAACTATGACTAGTTGCCAACTGTATGTATTAAAAAGAGGGGAAAAAAGAGGAAATATTGGGTCCATCCAATCCTGAGATTGCATAGACAGGAATGAGAGTTCCTCCTCCTTATCAAGGAGCTGCGGGATTATCCCGAACGATTCAAGGTTTACTTCAGGATGTCAGTGGCTCAGTTTGATGCTTTGCTAGCAATACTGGAGCCACATATTAAAAAGAAGAGCAATTTCCGTGAACCAATTCATCCTGAACAGGATGTGCAACCACAGAAACCGAAAATTCTCGGGACAGCAGCATGTGTCCAAATTTAAATCATAACCGTTCTATTTCATCAGAAACGTACGGTGGCCGAGAGAGGTCAACGCGCTGCAACTGAAGCAAACACATGCAAATAGAAAAAAACGCGTGCAAATAGAAAAAATCACATGCAAATAGAAAAAACATCTTCATCAGTTTCACAACACACGTGTGCTCCAAATACAGAAACGCGCTGCAAATAACACAGACCACAACGGAAATGTTTCCAGGGGAACCAAATAAGTGACGAACCCGGCTGGGACGTGCTTATTGCTCGTGAGCTTCCCTATGCCATTCTCCCTTCGAAGGGCAGACGGCAGAAAGTGGGACTGTGGAGTGAGCAGGGCTCTAGTGTGCCATTATAGCCGTGTGGAACGCACTTGATGAAGGAGCAACGAAAGACAACGTAATTCCTCATTATTTTCACCTGGGATGTTCCCATGACAACGCAGCACGAAGAGCTGTTCTTACCACAGAAATATAATGCTGTTAACATAACGGTTGCAAATACATTTTTATTTTCACTTTACAAAAAAGCTTTTAAAATATGCGTGTATGTGTGTCTCAACTTTAAAACTTTGGACCCTACATTACCTAACATTTCTTATGAAACTTTTCTTTATGAAAGTTTAAACATAACATGAAACAATTTGTACAGTGTAACTGATAAAAGATTAATATCTTTCCTTCATGTTCTTCTTCTCTATCTTTTTTATTTATTTTAGTTTTCAGCTCATTGTTCCTTTCTCATTTGTTGTCTGATGACATTGAACATATTGTTAACAAATTTTTTAACACAATATCACCAGTTTATCTTTAAACCCAAAGTTTATATGAGAAGCCTTTTTGAATATGATGTGAAATGTCGATGACTTACGATGTTTCTGGACAAGGTGCTGTGGATAGATGGTTTGTTTTTCAGGCTCCGAGATCCTCAATACCTCTGCATAGGTAGAGAGAGCCACTGCACAAATAAGAGAAAAGAAACGAGTCTTTAAAATAACTGCCTAGGTCATGTATGTAATAGTAGTAGCATATATCGTTTCTATAATGTTTTAAGAGATGTTAATGTGAATCTGATGGATGTAAATATCGACTCAACTTAGCAAGTCACATCAATCAGACCACAGAAACAAATGTTTTTTTCCAATTATATAAACTTGCTGAAGAACCCCCATGAGCCACTTATTGACATTAATGGAAAGTGACCTTTGATGAACATTTGGTTATGTAAGCAGTAATAATGTCTGAGAAGCAGTGCTGTATTGTGAATACAGTCACAGCTCAAAGATGTTGTCGAGAAAGGCGTGAAGTAGGAATATATATTATTTCATCACACACATGCATCTGCTTATCTCTCAGCATGAGAAAACTTTCCGGCTTTTAGTTTAAACCAGAGCGATTTGAGGCACAGTAAGAGTATCCCTTAGAAGCATCCTTAAACAGTATAACTCAATAAACACGATACCTGAAACACAATCTTTTAAATAATATGCAATTCGGCAACAATGGGCTTCCATACACATGTGCACACACACACACTACACACAAAAGGAAAAATTATATCATACAAATTAGTTGAAAACATCCCCCAGTCACTTTGCAGTTGTTAACTCTTTCTCCACCATTGTCAGAAATTTCTGTCATTTATGAAACAACGCTTCCTTGCTATTGATGAAATGTTCTGCTTGACTCATTCAATGCAGTTTGTGAAGTTCAACGGAGACTCGCTTTCTGCAAAATGGAGATACTCGCGGGATTTTCTAACATTTACAGATTACAATATAACCGTAAAAAGATATGTGCTGAAACGCATTAATCTGCACAACACACATGAGCGCTGGTGTGTGTATGCACGTCAAGCTTGACAGAACTCGTTAGAAAGGGAGAGCAATAATTCTGACTAAAATATACTTTTTGCTGTTACATGTAGGTTTAAAATGCTATGTGTAACACAAGTAATTGCATTTTTATGAGAGCAGTAAATGTAAAGAGACTACTTGGGGTATAAATTTAGCCTACTATAAAATAGGCCTACTATGTTCAAATGAGTGAATGCACCTCTTATCGGTTTAAAGTCCCCATGAAGTTTTCGACTTTTAGTATTAATATGTTAGCCTTGAGTTTATCTAGTATGTATGTATACGCTAAGCTATGTTCCAAAACAATGACACAATTCACATTTAGAAGATATATGCATTCAAAATGTACAGTCTCTCACTTCCACCAATATGGATCAATGATTTTGAAAACATCACTCTGCATTTCAGCTTCTAATCAGATTTTCTGTCCAATCAAATGAAATTGGTCACTTGTTCACACATTTACTATTTCATATATAGTGAATGGCACATAGTGCACTAGGAGATATGGAACGATTCGGTCAGTGTAAATATGCTTTCCATTGGGGCGAATGAAGTCTGGTTTCACATCATTGTCATGCTTTCCTTCGCATCGCGCACAGTGCTTCAGTCCAGTGACACGATAGCACACACACAGTGCTTCAGTCCAGTGACACGATAACAGTGTGTCATATGTGCGAGTCGCAGACATCAAAACATTTCCGACCCATGTGAATTCTACCCAGAATGTTGTATTTTAAAGTGATATGGAGGAGATTAGGAGAAGAAGACTCAGCATTAGAAACAGCTCTGACGTGTGAAAGAGATAACACACCAGTGCCATGCAGCAACATACAGTAGATTACACACTTTTCAAACTGCACATCCTCAACATGATGATGATCACTATTTTGCTGTAGGAACAGTTTCATATTTAATCTAAAAGGGGAATCTGTTAGACTTAAAGGGATAGTTCACCCTAAAATGAAAAATGAAATCATTTACTCACAATGGTGTTGTTCTAATGCCGAATGCCCTTCTTTCTTTTTAGTTTTGGCTCTTTGTGTCTCGTCATCGTCTGCCTTAATCATTCGTTTGTTGTCACAGACATATGTAACCTTGTCAATTTTTGCCCCAATAAGTCCTGAAATGACCTTTAATGCAAACGAGTAAAGTGCAATATCTAGTTCGCCACTAGGTGGCAGTGCACAATGAAACGTTCTTCTTCTGCTGTTTTCTGGCATCCGCGTTGTCTTTAAAAAAGCCGGGGAAAACGGGAGCCAGAGCAGAAGTAAATATTAAGATTGAGATTGTGTTATCATCGTCTTAAAATTTATGAAATTGATTTAGAAAACGAAATATATCCTCGAGGTTGAACTACATTGAAAATTAGACGACACCTGTTATCTCGGTGAGTGAAAACTATAATTTTGTGTTGATTAGCTTGAAGCTAGGATAAAAAAAAAAAACAGTCTGGCTATCTACAATAGCAGTGGATGTTACTTAACAGGTACATTTTTGTTGTATATTCTAATTTTGGTACAATGAAGAATGCATTTTGAAAGGAAATAATTTTGTTTTGTGTCAAGTATGCCAATTTTGAGTTACTATGCTATACTGTACTTTTGTTTGTCCAATTCCATTTTATTGATTTTTATTTTAAGCTGTATTATTGAACATATGGACTTTTAAATGATGAAAGATGGAAAAAGGACATTTAGTTGAACATTAGTTAATTTTCTGCACATTTCTGTGTAGACTGGTTTTTGTTTAGGCTTCTTCTTGTCCCGGATCTCTGGTGTTCTTTCCACCGAAGCTGGATTCCTCTCTGTTCGTCCTAGTGCTTGGTTCCCTGGTCCACTGCCTCAACTAACAGCACTGCAACGGTTCCATTGGGTGGTTGATATGGACGCTAAGTATTGAAGGGGTGGTTGGACAGTTAAAATATTTGAGTGCACTCAAGGGTAACTCATTTTTCTTTGGAAGATTTTCCCTTTTGTTTTTGTTTAATGAGATCTCAGAAGTTGTGACTAATCTGTTAACATCAATGGTACTAATGCTGTGTGAACTGAACTAAATGTTGAATTTTTGAATAAAAAAATAATAGAAATAATTTAAATAAGAACTACATCCAAAATTTAATCTATTGTCCTATCTGTTCCACCTTTGGAGTGGAATCTATGGGTCTTTTGACCATTTGATTAGTACATAACCGACCTCCTCATCGAATCTAGATTTAGATAACTCTTACAATAGGTTCTTAGCCTGCCTATAAGCAGAACTACCACCGGGGGGTTACACATACATTTTGTTCAGCTGTGCACTCATCAATCACCATCATTATCATATATGTTCAGTTCTGTTTCAGTTTAGGGTCCAGTGTCGTCTATCTTGGATGCATTGAATGCTGCTCTGTTTGTGTTGGTTTTATTAAATATTACCTATTTGCCTTCACCTTCATCTTCGTGTGTCTATACAACCACCCCCGTGACAATGATAGGGTTTAGTGAAAAACAAACCCAAATTTAATGTATTATTTACCGAAATTCTTGACCTTGGCCAATGGTCTTCTCTGCACGGCTGCAAGACGTGAGCGTTCGTGAGTGAAATTATGTGAATCGGCAGAAGATAGAGTCGCGATTCATTCGATTCCTCCCACCCCTAGTGCATCAGTAACATGCTTGTTGCTTAAAGATTATCTGGGTGTAATTGGAAACATGCTGTTTCTACAGGAATAAAACCAACAACTGAGGATAACGAGGACATGTAATGACATGGACCACTTCACCGGTTAAATTTGTGGATTTCTGTTGATTTAAACATTGCTGGTAACATTTGGGATATGCAAGTACACAATTCACAAAATTTATAACATTGTTCTAGTGATTTTAGGATATGTTAATTCTTACATATTGAGCCTTTAAATCTAAAAGAGCCAAAGCTATCTATGTATCAGCATCATGCTTGTGGCATTAAGCCATCCAGTTGTTATTGGCGACAAGTCTGTGTTATTAGTCTACATTATTGTGACATATTTCCAAGTGAAGAGGATGTTGGGAAATCTCCATCTCTTATCTCTATCTCACAGCAGTCTGTCCGCTGTGGGGGAGCTGTTAAAGATATTTTGCCCAAGTAGTCAACTGACACATCAGAGAAGGAAAGCCATTCCAGAAGGGAAGGAATCTTCATATTTTGATTAAGATTATTAAAAGACAACTTCCACTGATGAAAGGTTTACCACAAGACAAGCTATTTGCGCAACAAACAAACAAACAAACAAACAGGGTCAAACTGGATTTCATGCTGACCTCAATGTTCTCAGCAATATGCTTGTTGCCTTAGACTTCTGATGGTTATTGGTAACATGTTGTTTCTTAACAGCTCAGACACACCAAGCCTACATACCAACTTGCCAACATGCCAATCAATGGGATCATGAGGGCGTGTTTCATATTGCTTGACAAGCTGGAGTATATTGTACTTTCAGCTTTTGGAGAATGATGACCACTTTGTTTTTGAAGTCATTCGCAAAGACTGTGGATGGCAGAGTAGGTGGAGGAGGCATGAGAAAGTTGAAAAGGCTCATGTGGACTAATGATCATAGTGTTGATTCTAGAATGGAAGAATGACAACCTTTTTTGTTTTGATATCTGAATAAGGTTTTCTGTCCTGTTACTATGAGTCTCTGGGATCCATGGGCTTATCTTTGGATCGGTTTTGAGACTACAGAACAGAGGGCAAAAAAAAAACAACCTTTTTTGATAATTTGTATTTCAGAGAACATACAGCAGCTTGACAGGAAAATAGTTGATAGGAAGTGTGATGAGAACTGAAGAGGAGAGGGAAGGATGTGAAGCTGTCTGAAGTTTTCTTAAATGTAACTATGGATGGGCTGAAGCAGCTGAGAAGAGTGCTAAAGTGATGTTGACTGACAGCCTCTCCCAATTTCTTGGCCATTTGAGAGTGCATGCACACAACAGGAATACACTGGAAAATAACTTGGTGTTAAACAAATTTAACACAGAAATTGTTAGTAAATTTCACAAATAATCACAAAGAAGCAGTAAGTAACACTGAATTAAACGTGATTTTTTTTTGAAGATTGACTTCATTTCGATGGTCC